TTCATTTCCAAACAACATGATGACTTTTTCTCTAAGATTCTCTCCAAATGACCTCAAATGTAAATTGGAATTCTTCTCTCGCCTGGTGGCAAGAAGCACAAACTTGTGTTCCACCTGTGTTCTGAGTATCCATCAGTTTGTCACTGTTGTTCCTGTTAATAGACTTAAAGTTACACTCAGATCAAGTGCCCCAAATGTGGCGAGTTATTCTTGTTACAGTTGTTGGTTCTTCAGTGTCTTAAATAACATCTACATTCCAGTTAAGGTAACTGGGCCATGGAATACAGATAACAGCTCTGACTCTAAAAGCAAGCTTTTCTGTTCCAATTCTGGATTCAGTGTAGGCATTGTCTTCTTGCGGTTTGCCCATGATGCCACATTCATGAGCATCATGGTCTGGACCAGTGTCTCCATGGTACTTCTCCTCCATAGACATCGCCAGCGAATGCAGCACATCCTCACCACCAATCAGAACCCCAGAGGCCAAGCTGAGACCAGAGCAACCCATACTATCCTAATGCTGGTGGTCACGTTTGTTAGCTTTTATCTTCTAAATTTTATTTGTGTCATCTTTCAAAATTTTTTAATAGATTCTCGTCTCTTTATGAGGCATGTCAGTGAAGTTTTTATTGCAGGTTTTCCCACAGTTTCTCCCTTACTGTTGATCTTCAGAGATCCTAAGGATCCTTGTTCTGGGCTTCTCAGCTGTTGAAAGCCATAGTCACTAAAAATGCTAAACACAGAATACAGCTTCATTAATACCATTAAAATTTTTATTCCATAAATGTGTGTTAAACGCTTTTGTTTGAAGAAGTCATGGTACTCACTGCCGCACATTAAATCAAGAGGAAAGAGGAAAAGAGGCTAAAACAGCTCCTTCTCAGGAGCATGAAGAGGTTTAATTTCTCAGGAACAAGAAGGATACCAAGATCCAAGCTGTACATATCCTTCTGAAAGATCTTGACAAACTCTTCCCTCTAGCCCATAGTGAAATTGTGTTTCCAATCATCAGTAACACCTGCAAACCAGACAGGAGTCAAGAGGTATCAGAACAATGATTAGGCAAAGATGTCATCCTGTCTGTCAGTTGCTTCCTCAGTCACAAAGTTATTTTCTCAGAAGATCAAAATCAAGCATCTAGCCTTTTCAGCTGTCTGAAACTGAACACAGACACAAGATAAAGATCTGTGAGCACAGACACAAGATAACTATCTGGAGTAGTTATAGCTGTCCGTGTGACGAAACTCAAAATCTGACTTGTGGTACTTACTCCTATGAACTTACTCCTGTGAACAAAGAAATATTTTAGCATTTCTTTCATTTATCTGTATTGGATGTGCATGTATTTATGTGGATTCCTTGCCCTGAAGAAGAATGGGTGTTATACCCTAAGAGGTAGAGTCACAAACAGATGTAATCTTATAAATATAGTTTGTAAGAAACAAGCTCTGAACCACTGCAAAAGTGACCAGGGCTCTAACAGGCAGAGCCTTCTCTCTCCAGCCACAAACCAAGAAATTTGTCCAACCCACTTGACAATTCACTTCCATTCTGATGGCAAAAATTACTAATGACAGTTACAGTCAAAGAGCTACAAATGATAGAATAGGAAACAACAGTTTGTAGGTTCTATATTTATTAATAGATTCACACTGACTTACAAAATTAAATATTGAGGCCTGTTGTTTCTTTTAGAGACTTCCACCAACACTGAAACTGACAAAACTATAGCACCATGTCTTGATCATAACACAGGCCATAAGAGGCAGCAAGACAGCACAGCAGGTAAAGCACTCACCACTTAGATCTGATTACTAGAGTTCAAGCCCCAGGGCCTACATAGTGGAGAGAACAAACTCCTACATATTTTATTCCGGCTTCCTCAAATCTGTGATTGAACATGCCCACACACAATAAAGAAACAAAATATAGTTTGTAAGTATAACCAGTTCAGTGTACTCTCTTTCACTGATCTCTCCCTGTTAATCTGTGTGTTCCCTTGCCTCTAATTATACTTTGCGGGTACTTTATTGTGTTCTATTATCCATCCATCTTCCAAAACTTAGTAAACCCCAATCCCTCCCAACCTCCTAATACCATGTAGTCAAGAAAAAAAAAACAGAAGAAAAGGAGTGTAGACATCTTGAGATGACTTCCTGCTGAATTGGGTCATTTGGTTCCTCTTGGCAAATCCAATCTCTATCATCAGGGTGTTTGCAACCAGCAGTCAAACAAAACAGCCAAACACAATCCAGCAACAGCAAAAGCGGTAGCAGGAACAGCAGCAAGAGGGACTGGCAGCAGCAAGCAGAGCAGTCGCCACCACAGGTCCTCTTGAGTATCTCACATTTATCCCCTCTCAAGAGCCCCCAGAATTCCAAACTAAACCTGTCTGCCTCTGGAAAAAATTAATATGACTCCTAAAGCATGAGACACTGATCGTTAGTGGCTGTGGATAATGTGAAGCTGCCCCATACCCCACATCTTGGATTAACACAAAAATATATTCACATAGCATAACTGGGTTTATAGAGAAATGAATATTTTCACTATAATAATCGTCACTTTGCATACAGAGAAACTGCTATAAAATAATCTCCCTGATGCTCACATATTCCAGGTTTGATCACACCAGCAAGTCCAAAAACCCTGGCCCCTAGAAACAGGTATCTGTTCTTCATCTCTGATAATTTGCCAAAGAAATAGAGCTACACTGTAAATCTATTTAGTGTTTGTTGGACTAATCCAGTGCAAAAACCATGAATAACAAACAGGATGCTGCAGCGGAGAAAGTACTGTCTCTCACAGGATAGATTCATCTCGTAGATAACTTATCAGTAACATGAGATATACAGTCAATACCAGTGATGATCATAAGAGGGCAGGGTGTCTCTTAATCACCCAACTCTTAAAATTAATACTCTAGTTATCATTTTGCTAAAATTTGTTAAGAATGAAGAAAGGCCACTTGGACAATGTGGAAAGAGGAGGAAGGTATGAATAACATATTCAATGTACAGGCAATAGCATTTGTGATTTGGGATATCCTCCACACCAGTTGTTCAAGACCCACAAGAAGAGGAAGCTTGACATGGCTACATATGTACAGGAAGAGTTGGATATGGCATCTGTGTGTTCTTTCTATAGTAGTTCAGACTCTAAAATCTCCAAGAGTACAGTCTAATTGATACTTTTGGTCTTTCTGTTGAGTTATTTTCCTTTTTGGAGTCAGCAATCCTTTCTGTTCTTCCATAAGACTCCCTGAGCTCTATCTACTGTTTGTGGGTATCTGTCTTGTCCTGGTGATGCAGCCTACCTCCTCATCTCTGATAACTGCAGGTTTTCATTCATTTTCATGGTATCTAGACATCTCTCCCATCTGTCCCCAAACCTGATCCTGACCCACAATCCCCTCTTTCACCCTGTCTGCTCCCTCCATTTGCCTCTTATGACTATTTCATTCCCACTTCTAAGTGATATTCAAAAATCCTAGTTATGGCCCTCATTCTTTTTAGCTTCTTTGGGTCTATCGAGTATGGCAGAAGTATCATTATTTTATGACTAATATCTATACCTGTGTTGCAGGTGGATGTGCAAATATGTACAACCATTTTGGAAATCAACTGGCACCTTCTCAGAAAACTGTGAATAGTTTTTCCTCAAGCTATAAAACTTCTAGACATATGCCCAAAAGGTGCTCCAAGATTCTGTGAAAATACTTGGTCAACTATATTTATAGCAGCTTTAATTCATGATAGCCAGATACTGGAAAATATAGCTGTTCCTCAACTGAAGAATAGATTTTAAAAATGTAGTACATCTACACAAAGGAATACAATTCAGCCATTAAAAACCAAGTCATCTTGTTTTTGAGGGCAAATGGATGGAACTTGAGAATACCATCCTGAGTGAGGTAACCCAGCCACAAAAGAATATTCATGATTTTTTATCTTTGAGATAGGATACACAGTGTATCTCCAGTTGTCATTGAACTGACCCTGTAGACCAGGCTGGTGGACTCAAGATCCACCTGCCTCTGCCTCCCTAGTGCCAGGAATAAATAGTCATGCACAGCAACCACCCACTTCCAAATGATGTATCTGTACAAACTCAACATGCCTCAGTTTGATTCAGCAATGATATACTCACCTGTTCTCAGCAGTGATATTCTGGCAGTTGTGCTATTTATATGCTCTCCCTGTCTCTCTCTATCTCTCTGTTTCTGTCTCTGTCTCTGTCTCTGTGTCTCTGTGTCTCTCTCTCTTTAAATTAGTTGAATATTCTGCTGTTCTTCATGACTTAAAAGAACAGTTTTTCATTGTGGATGAATTCAATTCAGATTCTATTTTGGTTTTAAATCCTTGCAAAGTAGCTGACACATCTTTTGCACATTTTACCTTGTGCCCTGGGGTATAGGGATAAAGGAGTAGTAACACTGAGTTCTTATAAAAATCGTTGAAGGATATAGGTGCTTCCATGTTAATCAGGTTCCAGTGCTTCTTGCTTTCATGATCTTTGTCAGTCTCCAAAGTTTACAACCAAACCCCAGTGTTCACAGATAAAACGGATGTGAAAAGTAACTAGTTCATAAGTCTGTTTTCTTTGTCTTAAGATTTTTATTTTTGAATGTACAGGTGAGTTTCTGACTATGACGCTTTACACGTGAATGCAATGTCTAAGGCCAGAAGAGTGATTTGAATCTCTTGTAGCTAGATCCACAGAAAGCTGTGAGCCAGCTGATACTGGTGCTAGAAACCAAATGCTCTAGAAGAGTAATCCATGCTCTGAGCAGCTGGGCTCTCTCCCAAACCGCCATGAAGTTGTTTTACAGGTTTTCTAGACAGACTTCTGTAAGATGGTAGAAAAGAAAACATTCCATGGGTTACTGCCATTCACGTTTTCTGTCCTTATTCGCTCATAAGCTGGTGTGGATGTTGCTATTTGTTTAAACTTGAATGTCTTCTGGCCTTTTGTGGCTGCGTCATGGATCGAGTGTGCTCACTTTGCTGTCTTCCACTGTGTATGAAGGAAAATCAGGAGAGAAATTCCATTGTTTTGGTACTGCAATGCTTCTCAAACTTTCTAACAATTATTAGTCAGTATTAGGAATTGCAAAATGAGACAGAGCAGTCAAAGATTGGTCAGAGTTTCCCAGCCATTATGAACCACACACAAATTCATGGATATTGAACAATACATTACTGAAAGATAAAGTGGTCATTAAAGAAATTAAGAATGAAATTAGAAAGTTCAAAAATGAATGAAAATTTTAAAATCTCTTTGGAATGCAATGAAGATAGTTATAAGAGGAAAGCTAAAAACTCTAAAAACAAACAAAACAAACAAAAAACCCCAGAGATATACCAAATAAGTATCTCAATAATACAGATAATGTTTTAGAGAATTATGGATCACTAATAATTATTTTTAAAGTATTTGATACAATTTTCTATTGCTGAAATGACAATTAAAACTACTTTGTTACGGACGGTAGTGGCGCACGGCTTTAATCCCAGCACTTCAGAGGCAGAGGCAGGTGGATTTCTGAGTTCGAGGCCAGCCTGGTCTACAGAGTGAGTTCCAGGACAGCTAGGGCTATACAGAGAAACATTGTCTCAAAGAAAAAAAAAACAAAACAAAAACAAAACAAAAGAGAAACTACTTTTTTGTCCCTTATCTTCCTAGTGAGAATAGCTATCCAAACCGTGAATT